CGCCCTCACCGCCGCCGCCCTCGCCGCCGCCGCCCTCGCCGCCGCCACCGAGCCCGCCGCCACCGTCACCCCCGCCCCCGTCGCCGCCACTTCCCTCACCGCCATTGCCCAGCCCGCCGCCGCCATCTCCCCCACCGCCCTCACCGCCACGCTGCCAGCGCAGCCGCCGGGCGACGCGACAGCGGCTAGCGGCCGGGAGAGCCTCTCCAGTGCGGGCTGGGGGCGGCGGCGGCACTCTGCGGGTGGCGGGCGAGCTGCTGGCTGGCCGGCGGCGCGTCTCGACTCAAATTATGGGCCGCCTCTCGGGCGTGCGGCCAGGGGCCCGTGTGGCGCGAGGAGAGGGCGGCGCGCTCGGCGCGCTGGCGGCGGTGAAGCCTCTCAGAGTGGGCGCTGGCTGGCTGAGGGCGTCGGGCGGGTGTGGGGTGGCACTCGGGCCGCCGGACGGGCCGTGATGGCCCGTGTGGCGTTCGTGAGGGATTGTTTGGGCGCCCTGGCAGCCTCCCCGCCTGCGTGACCAGGGCCAGTTTGGCAGCGGTTTGGGCTGTGTGTGGGCTGGTCGCGGTAGGGGATATAGGGCTTGTTTATGGTCCCACTCACCACTCCCGGCCAACGGGGCCTCGCGGCACGCGGGGCGTCCTCGTTTGCAGTAAAAGGCCTCTGCCATCGCTCAGAGTCCCAATCCATGTGATCATCCGCGCCGCCGCGCCCGAGTAGCTGAGCCCTGGCCTCGACACCTCGACACCAAACCTCGACACCAACTCGACACCAACTCGACACCTCGACACCCCATGCCAACTCGACCAACTCGACACCCCTCGACACCCCTCGACACCCCTCGACACCATCTAGGCTGGTACCATGCTCGACCGTGTCAAGGTGCCAAACTCGACACCTCGACACCCCTCGACACCCCTCGACACCGCTCGACACCCCTCGACACCGCTCGACACCGCTCGACACCGCTCGACACCTCTGATGATCCTAACACAGCAGAGATGTAGACCCATTGGAGTCAGAGTTAGAAATCAGGGTTGCAGCAGCAATCAAACTTGGCTGGCAGTACTTTCATCCCTGAGTTGCAGCCTCTCAAGTTCTAGCTCAAGTTGCAGCTCAGTTGCACCCCTGTTGATGCAGCAAACATGGCAGTACTCAGGTAGCCCTCAGGTGCTGCACAGCACCTTGTACAGTGGCAATGAATCCTCACACCAGTGAGCTTGTGCCATGAGTGCAGACCTGTGGTCCATTGCGCTTTGTGCACTGGCGACGCTCGGCTGCAACGGCGACGCTGCAGCGGCGGCGACGCTGCTGCGATGGGGTACTGGCAGCCCTTAGCTGCTGGACAGCACCTTGTGCAGTGGCAATGTCCACTGACTCATGGCACCAGAATGGGCCATGAGCGCTGTGGTCAGTTGCGCTTTGTGCGCCGGTGGCGCTGCAGGGGCGACGCTGCTGCAGCGGCGACGCTGCTGCGGTGCTGCGCCTGCACAGTACCTTTGTGCACAGTGGCAATGACTCCCGGCACTTGATGTCCTCAAATGTCCACAGAGAGTATACTGGTTGTGCTCAGGTTGTGCTACATCAACAGGGTGCAACTGAGGCTGCAACTAAGGGATGAAACAGCTTTGCAACTGCTGCCCAAGTTTTGTTGATGGGCTGCAACTGCATCCTGCCACCTTGGACACCTCGACACCTTAGACGCAAAACCCCTTGACAACACTCGACACCTGCTCGACACCCTCGACACCCTCGACACCCTCGACACCCTCGACACCCCTCGACACCCCTCGACACGGTCAAGCATGGTACCAGCCTCGACAGGCCTCAACAGGCCTCGACAGGCCTCGACAGGCCTCGACAGGCCTCGACACCTCTATCCCTCGACAGCAGCTCGACAGCAGCTCGACACCCTCGACACCGGGCCTCGACACCTCGACACCAGGGCTCAGCCGAGTAGTCCCCAGATGCGACGTCGTCGGGGAGGGCGTCGTCGCGGGCGCCAACGTCGTCATCCGAGCCCCTACGGCTGTCCAAGGGCACGTCTGGGTGACCAGGGGCGGGGGCCGAGCCGTGAGTGCTCCGCCGGGGCGAGCTTCTGGGTCCATGGGACCGCTGCCGGACCCATCCGAGAGCCTCTCCGGACACGTTCGCTCGATGGCCTAGTTGGCGGCCGATATTCGACGACCAAAGCTCCGGGCGCCGCGGCCAGAGGTCCGCCCACGGCCCCAGGACTCGTGGTGGGTGTGGGGTGTGCCTCACGAGGCGGAGAGGCCGCGTGAACGCCCGTAGAAGCTCGCGAAGTGCGGATTTGGAGCGCCGCGCCGGACCTCCGCCGGGGCCCGCCGGGGCGTCGTATGGGCCTCGGGGTGCCCGAGAAGCTTAGAGGTGCGGTTTTTTTTGCTTGTGTCTATCGGTTCATGTCATGGACCGGCCCTGGGAAGCCTTTGACCGCGCGCGGAGGGTGTTACGGGGCCGTGATGATTTAGCGGGAGGGAAATCGGCTGGTTTGCCCAGTGTGAGCGTGTGAGTGAGTATTCTTGATACGAAACCACGACGACACACACCAGTCGACTCGCATCGGTTGCCTCCATGAACGGCGGAGCTATTCTCGCGTCCACACCACACCTGGCTCCAAACGTGGACACGCCCATAGCTGCGGACACTACTAGGTCACGCATGGCATCAGAAGTTTTATCTCTGGGCCCCGAAAGGCATCTCTAGCACACACACACACACACACACACACACACACACACACACACACACACACACACACACACACACACACACACACACACACACACACACACACACCCGCTAGCGCCGCCACCGAAGAAAAGAATTCAAGCATGCGCCGGCTGCCACGCTGCGACAGCCGACCACCGACTCCTCATCGCGAAATGCTCCTCGTCCTCGCTACCAGCGCTTCGCTTCACACCGCTGCGCGCGCGCGGCCACCGACGTGCGTGGCGACCGCTCCGCCGGTCGGCACCTCGTACGACACTGGCGCCTTTGACGCGGCCGTCATGAAGACGTGCGCCGGCTGCAACCCGTGTGGGGCCCGCGGCCTCGCCGACCGCGCGCTGATCCCACGCAGGTACAACCGGTACCCGCTCGCGGTTGCTGGCGGGGAGGGCTGCGAGCTCGTTGATCTCGACGGCCGGCGGTACCTCGACTTTGCAGCCGGCATCTCGACGTGCACACTCGGCCACGCAAACCCGAAGCTCGCGGCGGCGGTGGCGGCGCAGATGGGGCGGGTGAACCACGTGTCGAATCTGTACTATATCCCCGAGCAGGGCGAGCTCGCGCAGCGCCTCGTCGCCACCTGCAATCTCGACAAGGCGAGAGAAGCTGCCAACCGCGCCGCGCAGTCTCCTTGACTCCAAACACCGGCTCCTCCTCTCTCACCCGTCGGCGGTTCATAGACCGGCCGGCTCCTCCCCCCGTGGACCGGGCGTCTCCCACCAGCCGCACAAGCGCGCGCCCATCACACCCAACCAGGCCTCGGCCCGTGCCTGTGAGGTATCCATGGCGCGCGACAGTCCAACACCGCACTGGCTCTCCGCAGCCGCCGCTCCGCATCCTCCGCCCCTCGACAGCA